ACCCCAAATGTAGCCTAAGAGTAACAGGACATCCGGCTCAGCTAAACGTCCATCTTCATCATTTGTCATTGACAGCCTTAGGGGGTAGTCTTCACTGCCAAGCCAACAGATGTGGCAATAGGCCTCGCCAGAGTAGTGACATAATTTGTGAAAAGGCCAGTACCTTTTGGATTTCTATTAATAAAACGGCTCCCTAGTCCAACAACAACATAGAGGGACACAACCTACCGAGCAGCAGCAGCCGATGCGTCTGTTTATACTCCCGTTTGAGCTCCTTCAGCGCCCTGTCAATATTCTTACTGACTTTCTTCGCCTCCTTCTCGGCCTCCTTCTCCTCCACCAGCAATTTGTCCCAGTTTTTCTGCTTTTGGGTGTTAGTCTTTTGCAACAGCTGTAAGCGTCGGCCGCGGTCCTTCCCTGTCCCCTTACCGCTGCCTCCCCCTCCTCCGCCACCACCACCACCTCCGTTTTGTATGAGCACACCGTCGGTACCGGTGTCTCCACAGCGGTGCTCCCCGGCCGAGAGCCTGGCTGGGTCCCCGGTGCGCACCGGGCCGCCGCCGCGTAGCGACGAAGTCTCCCCGCATCCCCCGGTGTCCTCCTGGCGAGCTCCCCCGGCGCGGGTCGGCACGGCGGCGTCCGGAGGCTGGTCCGAGTCCGAGGTAGCGTTGGAGATAGAGCCGCTCAGGTCCCCGAAGAGCCGGGGACGCAAACTGTAGCACAGCCCCATGTTGAAACCAATATTTGTCTGTGAATGTGATTTTTCATAAATTAAAATATCAAAAAAAAAATCGCCGTTACGCCACAAGCCCTAGCGAGCCATCGTCACATTGGAGCTCCAGCGGTGCGATTTAAGTCCGAATATGAGCCGAAAATGTGAATGAATTATGCTCCGACATTTGCTATATGTCATTTTGCATTTTCCCCAGTCAGCCTTCGCTTCGTAGTTAGTTGATCACCTGATCCTTTAGTGGACACTGCGGGTCCATCTTACCGTAAGTAACCAAAAGCACAACCTTGGGGAAAAAACGCTGCTATCCGCTGCGCAGACAGTCAACAATCTGACTGCACAGTTGTTAGGTGCAATGCACGGCACGTCGTGTTACTACAGTATGGCCATTTCGAGAATGCTGGTCATGATTTTCATTCCTCACATTTCATGCCTGCATGTCTAAAGACACACACTGCACTGTAGACAGTGAATCTGCTCTTTATTATCAGACAAGCGGCACACTGCTTTTACTTTCGCCTATATATTATTATTATTTGGCCCCATTAATGTTTTTAATAAAATTACAAGCCTAAAATAATTTAAACCTCTAACACAGTTTTTCAGTTGACTCACGCCCAGATTATTATAATCATTTAGGCATTAGTGTGTGCCCTAACACAGAGATCTTACACATAGACTGGTAGTAAAATGCTTTACATCAGCCTAATATCATTTGTTTATGTCAGCCTTTTGATTAATTATTTTGTTATTAATGCGATGTTTTCTAAATTCCCATAACCCAAGTGTTATTTATCAGTTCTATAAATATACAGGACCTATTTTGAGCCTCAAAGCAGTCCAAGTGTCCCTGTGAATATTTATATATTTATGGAACGCACCACATGGGAACGAAATATCTGGTCTACAAATTCGGGTCCTTGGACATTTCAAGGGTCCTTGGGTTGGCCTCACGTGCTTCCTATGAAACTAAGAAATTCTGTTTAAGTCAAATGCAGTAAAACTTACCACAATACATACATATATATTTTGATACTTCCTTCAATGTGGCTGTTTGTACAAAAACACACTGTTTTTGTTTTTTAGATAGAGGCCACTGGAATTAAGTACTGATCGGGGTCCATTGCCACATATGTATTCCTTATGGGTTAAAAAAACAAACTCGGTTTGTCTGGATTATTAGAGATCAAGTTAGATGCACGGTTAAATATGAACCACTAGATGGAGCACATGTAAAACGAATTTACAGAGATCAGAAAGAATCACAATCATAATCAGGTTTATTGCCAAAAATAGGCCTTCACATACCTTGGTATATTGGTGCAGAACAATAAACACAGTATGGAGAAAATTTAAAGAAATGTAAAGCAAGTACTGCAAGTCAGTAAGTATAGTATAACTATTAAACTGACAATAAAGTCAGTCAGGGGTAGAGCCAAATGACCTGTATATATATATATATATATATATATATATATATATGACCTACAATATATAAGGTAGGTTTATACAATATTATTTGGATCAAATAGTATGACCCATATGGAGTTTTAAAGTGCAATAACCCAAATACAAGGCTTGATTCCCAACTGGACCTCAAACACCCTGTGGCCCCTAAAACCCCAGGTTCATGCTAATTTACTTTTGGTAATGCAATTAAATTAAATTTTCACCACTAAATTAAAACAGCAACTGACCATTATTCCCTAATTTTGTGCCTGTATATTAAAAAGACGCTCTGTGTCAAAACCTTACTTTAACACCTTTATAACTTTAATTTAGTTTATATTGTGCTCACTTGTGGATGTTTTTTGTGGGAGGGGTCAATTGAGAGAGAGCCCCCTTACTTGTCCTAAATGTCATCATATGGAGGTCTGTAGGATGTTTTATATGCAGACTATGTAACATCCCTGCCTCTTTATCTTTTTATCTCTCTATATACCTATGCATTGTTGTAAAACTTGTAAAACTTTATTATTGACCTTGGAAGCACCACAGGGTCAATTTAGAAGCTATTCTGAAGCTTTAGAAGTTTTTGTCCATAAAGGGTGAGGCTGAAAGTCCCTTCTCCTAGGCTATTTTACATCTGTATGCTAGATACAGATGTGAGATACTATCAAGAGCTCAAGAACTGCTGGGAAATGGACTTTGTGATTAGATTGTTTTGTCAATTACTGTTTCCATGGTCAAGAATAAACTTTCAAGTTCAACTTTCAAGCCACCATGGACAAGAAAGTGCTAAAAGTGCTCAGGACAAAAAGCTCTGCTCAGCAACTGCTGATGAAGATTGTATTATACAATCAAAAGCTCCTGAACAGTAAAATGATTTCACATCATTACAGTAATGACACATTTACAATGTAATTTCATTACAATCACATGTTTTTAGCCTATTTATATTCCATTATATTTAATGATTTAATACATATACTGCCACAGTGCATGTGTTGAATGTATTATTAGTACATCAGTATGATTTCATTTTATTTTGTAAGTCAGTGTGTTGCCTAGGATGCAGGACGCCGCCCTGCAAACGGACAGGGCTGGCAGCGTCTCTCTCTCTGCAGCGGGCATCGTTATCTTCATCACCACAGAAATGTCTCCGATGGTAGGTATACTTTACTTAAGTGTAAAGATTTGAGACATAGTAAATATTCAGTAAAAACTGTCTTTTAGATCGCATGGTTGATTATTAGGTCTGGACAGGCAGGTAAGGTTAGCTTATTTAGCTCACTAGCTTAACTTACTGGATGTACTTGCTCAGGAGCAGCTTGCTAGCTAGCTTACAGTTCAGACACCGTGATGAAATGGTTATCAATTAGTAAAAGCGAATCTCGTCTCAGTTTAGCATCAACATGGTAAGTTTTGTGATGTGAATATTAGTCAAAATTAAAAACACATTTTTGTTGAAAACACAGAGAAAAGCATCAAATTTCAAGTCTTGTAGTATAATTAGGTTATTATAATGCTAGTTAAGCAGTTGATATCAAGTAACGTTAATATAAAACCCACAACCCTAATTCTAAAGCTACAACTTTCTAACAATTATATCCTTACACAGTGTAACTCATGACTATTAATAGTTAGTATATAGGTTTACTAGTGTTTTATAGATCAGCCATTAATAAGCCATTAATATAAAAAAACGTTTGGGTTGCGAAAAAATCAGTCTGGGCCGTTTATCCTCCTTTAGCAGGACATTTTTGTTGTGTCTTTATTTACATTTATTCATTTAGCTGACCCAAAGCGACTTACAATTGCTATATATGTTGCAACTAGAGGTTAAGTGCCTAAGGGACACGTTGGTGGATGTGAACCCGGGTCTCTCACACCAAAGGCATGCATCTTATCCACTGCACCATCACCACCCCTGTCTTTATTTATTTGCTTTTTTTATTTGCACAGGAAACAAAACAATTAAAGGTAATAGTTTTATGGATAAACAAAGACTGCTGGTCAGATGGGAAAAAAACACCAACACCAAATGACCTCCAACAAATTAATAAATAAAACAGTGACAACAACACAATAATAAAACACCTTAGAATAACAGAAAGATAGAAAGAGATACGCATACTAGAGACACATGTGAATTGCTGCTACTGGGCATGGCATAAGAGACACAAGTTGATAGAAGGCCACGATGTCTAAAGCATTTGTAAGTTATTGATTAACTACTAATAAAGCCATTAGTTACAACTTATAACCCCTTTAGAAAAGACACCTTATTAGAAAGAGGTACATCTACTATTGACCTAGTTTGACTTCTCTAACCTAGTATTATGTCAGTTATAAATACACTGGCGCTAGTTTGTTCAACTCTGGCCAAGGTGCACTTGTCAGGTCCTGTCCTGCTGGAAAATGTGGGTTAATTGGATATTAAAGAAAAGCAGGAGAAGTTTTCAACCCATTAAGGTGAGGTGAGCATCATTGTCAACAGCCAGATTATAGTACTTTGGTCAAAAAGCAACTTTTTGAAATAGTATTCACACACCTCTCAAAACCACTGGCTCACATATGTGTAATACATTTTGGACAAAGACAGGTAAAGCCCACTTTTTCTGGTTCAAATTCATGAATGGTATCTTGGTTTTTAAACACCACAAATTCATCCCACCTTGCACAACACAAATGTGTCACCATGGTACTATTTATAAACTCAGTGGACTTGATAGGTTAAAACCATGTGAGCCCATTTCCTGGCACTTATTCTTATTCACATGTGGACTTTAATCCACTTCCCCTAGAAGGGGATTGCCCTTCCTCTCTCCGTGTCAAGGCTTAACTTAGGATAGGTGAGACACAGTTCAACAGGCAGGCTCAAGACAGTGTCACTTTTTCATTGTCAGTCACCAGGTAAACTTCCACCCTTCGTCACCAATCTGCAGAGAGAAAGGTAAAGGATGAATGTTTATGTTTTATTTCTGTTTTTCTTGAGTAAAAGTCTTTGAGTAGTCTCAGAGTAGCAGCAGGATAGAGCAGCGTAGGGGCGTTGATCTGTGGAGGGATGTTACTGTGTTTATAATGACCAACTGTTGGACTGTGTGGGACTGTCAAGGCTCCCCGGTGAAGGACAGGCAGGGGTCTCTGTGGACGATGAACCGCTACACCACGCTGAAGCAGCTGGGAGACGGCACGTACGGCAGCGTGCTTCTGGGCAAGAGCAATGAGACTGGAGAGCTGGTGGCCATTAAGAGGTGAGTCTACCTCCAACAAACATGCCAGGGACATGCTACGTTGTTTTGTCTGGAAGCATTAAGCTGATTAAACCCTGAGTGGCCTCTGCAAGGTGCCTCGAGGCTCTATGCTCAAACATGTTGCGTCCTCACATGAAAAAAAGGAAAATGTTTTGAGTCAAAAGTTTTGCCTCAGTGCGAATCATGTGTAGGCATTTTAGGGTAAATAAAACACAGTAAAGAAAGACAAGGTTTAAGAACATTTTGAAGCTCAACAGATGCAGGTTTCTTGACAAACTATAGACACTCTAATACTTTAATATTATTATATATTTGCCTAGACCGCGTTTTAAGGATCAGCTGTTTAAGAATCTGTCTCTGGCAAGAAATTAATAATAAATGTTTCACGAGGCTCCACCAGGCACTGTTTGTAAATGTAAGGTTATAGTGCAAGCTGATACCACTGGTGACAGTGAAAGGAGTGAAAGTACACCACAAAGTGTTGCCCCCGGAGCATGGGAAACGCATAGTGAAAGTCTCCAGCAGTAAGAAAGAAAGGTTACACATGTAAAAACATTTCAATAAAGTACATTTAGATATAGCGGTGTTGCCCAGGATGCTGTTTTTACTACTATTATGGGTACCACAGTGATGCAACATTTGTTTGGCGCTCATAATCACAAGTAGCATCTATGCAGTGGTTTCCAACACATGTTACAAATAATACATAACTATGAAAACAGTAGTAAAGCATATAAGTTTACCAGATCTGGGTTTCCACAAACATTTTCATAAGCCATCAAGAATGCAAGATATGCATTAAAGCTGCACTAGGCAAGGTTTTATTAAAAAATCCCTGTTGTGATTAACTCAGCAGTTTATGAATGAACAAAGCTTTGTCCTAAAGCAAGTCAGGGCTCAATCTATTTAGAGGTGGACTCACAGAGGTTGAATACCTACTGCTTACTAAAGAATACGAAACAGAGGACTTTGTATTATATCAATTCCGGACATTTGGACCCTTCAAATACAAAATTTTAAAAATGAATAATAATAAAAAGTTTGGCGTTACATGTGGCTGCTAATATGAAACTTAATATAACATACATACATATAATACACAGTATAGATATTATATATTAGCCTAATAATCAGACTGAAAGGCCATTTTATATCTCTCAAACACGTGATGCAATTTAGTGGTCTGTGACGAGGCATTCGAGATTACTGTCTTAAAATGTCATCAATAATAATACACCTAGGTTGTTTTTTGCCACCCCAACAGGATGAAGAGGAAGTTTTTTTCTTGGGATGAGTGCTTGAATCTGAGAGAGGTGAAGGTGAGAAGTAAGACAGGAAATCTTCATATTTGGCAATGTGATCATTTTAAACCACCAGTCTTTCTGCTTGTAAAATCCTACCCTTGCTTTTCCAATATTCCTCCCTCCACTGTCTCAGTAATAAAGACATTTTGTGGTATAATTGACATTTGAGTGGAAAAGGCTCAGTTCAGACGCTGTGTTCAGACATTTGAGGTACTTTACTTACATGATGAGCTGATTCTTAATGACTCTGTTGTATGTGTCTCCCAAATACTTTGTGTTATCAGTCACTGAAGAAGCTGAACCATGCCAATGTGGTGAAACTGAGGGAAGTCATCAGAGAAAATGACTACCTCTACTTTGTCTTTGAGTATATGAAAGAAAACCTCTATCAGCTCATGAAAGAGAGGTAGGCAGCATAACATAACCATTCATTTATTTAGCAGTTGTGAACACATAGTTATTTCTGTGATGTAAGTCTGAAGTGTGTTTTTTTTAAATCACCATTGGGAATGTGAGAATTATTTGGGTCAGATTGAGTCATCATGTGCTGGTCTTCATTTTTGCAGAAACAAGTTGTTCCCTGAGTCAGTCATCAGAAACATGACATTTCAGATATTACAGGGACTGTCCTTTATTCATAAACATGGTAGGTGACTTCAGCAAGGCCTTTCAGTTCAGACTGAAGTAAAACTGTCCCTGCTGTCTTTCCCGTCTTCTAAAATGCTGTGTTATCAAGCTGTCAGCGCACTTTCAGTATGATTGAGTAAACAGAAAACAACATATCTCAATCTGAAAAGTGTATGAATGCTGGACGGTTGATAAGACATCAGGCGGCGCAGGATTTTCTCCAGCCAAAAATGACTCACTTCTCCTGTGTCGTCAGTGAGAAGAGGAGGTGTGAGTGGTACTGAAGCTCAACAGAACAAGTTTTTCTTCTCTGAAAAATAAAAATCAGCACCGTTTTTAGTGCGTGTGGGTGCTGGTGTCATTCTCACTTCATTAAGGCATGATTCTTAGCATTTTTTCTTTATCCCCTCTTTCTTTCTTTTGTCTCTTACCACTTTGCTGCTGCCAGGGAAGATAAGATGTTTTCTGAAAATGAGATAAGGAACATTCTGTTCCAAGTATTGTCTGGCTTAGCATTTGTGCATAAGCACGGTAAGAGACTCCTCCTGTCTTTCTCTTTTCCTTTCCACTTCCGTAAAGGCTTGGCTTAGTTGTGCCTTGTCAAGTTAAAACATGTTTTTTTTTTGTCAAAGATGTTTCAGATCTTTGAAAAAGTCTGACAAAACATCAAACTGTGATAGACATGTCATGATTAGTAGTAAAAGTGATAGTTGTTGTGATAGTAGTGGAAACTGAGATGCAATAACCATGCAAATGGACAAATCTCTGCATGAGCACGGGTTTATTTGTACGTCTCGTGTTTTTCAGGGTATTTCCATCGTGATATGAAACCAGAGAACTTGCTCTGCATGGGCCCAGAGCTGGTAAAGATTGCTGATTTTGGACTAGCCAGAGAAATCCGCTCGCAGCCACCGTACACTGATTATGTGTCCACAAGATGGTGAGACTGATTTGTTTACAAGATTATATCAGAGCAAGTTATTCCTGGAGATGAAACACTTTGTGATGGACGTTATTGATTTGTAGTCTGACCTGAATCAAACTTTTGACTCTCAGTAACACCTGCTGTAATATCACTTCGCACATAACACACCTACTGCTGTGATTACGCACAGTAAAAAGTCCCAATACGCCAGCAGAGCAAGAACGGGAGGGCAAAATAACTCACTGAGCAAGTGCGCAAGAGAGCCCAAGCTTACAACAGCTTGCAGTAGTAGGCTAGAACAGTTAAAATTTTTTCCTATATGTTGTCATGTATGAAAAGACCCACATTGAACACTGTAAGCGGACTACTTGATTAACAGCATTTGTATAGGAGTGATTCTGTCACAAGCTTTTCAAAAGACTCTTAGATTAAGCTGATACTGACTACAGAAGTTAATCCGTTCAGAAGATGGAGAGGAAGACAAATTGATAGACAGAGGATAACCAATGAAAATTCTGCAAATCATCCATAGCAACCAGGACATTGTTTCTAGAAAGAGATGCCACTGTTGAATTCTTTAAATCTAATTTAATGCCATACATATCCTCCTGTGCTGTTACGACAGGTACCGAGCCCCAGAGGTTCTGCTCAAGTCTAACTCCTACAGCTCACCCATCGACATCTGGGCCGTGGGATGCATCATGGCGGAGCTCTACACACTCAGACCCCTGTTCCCTGGCAACAGTGAGGTGGACGAGATCTTCAAGATCTGTCAGGTGCTGGGAACGCTGAAGAAGGTGAAACATCGCAACAGGGGTCCCAAATTATGGTGACACCCTCTGTTTTTGCACTTTTGTTGTAAGACACCAGTAACAAATGTCTCTGTTTTATGACGTACTGTTCAAAAGGTAGAAAGTTATTTGTGATTATGCATTTAACATTGTCCTGAATACACACAAACTCACTGAAGACTAATTTATTGTTTTCTCTTGTCTCTCGCCACATCAGTCAGACTGGCCTGAGGGCTACAACCTGGCCACCTCGATGAACTTCCGCTTCCCAAAGTGTGTCCCCACCAGCCTCAGATCCCTGATCCCCAACGCCAGCCACGAGGCCATTGCACTGATGAAAGACATGCTGCAGTGGGACCCTGAGAAAAGACCAAGCGCTGCTCAGGTACATTTAAAACCCATTAAGTTTTAACATAGATTGGTTGGAATAAGCACAAAACGTACAAAGATGAGGGTGAAGACAACTGCCTGATGTTGAGGTGACGGTGTTAGAAAAGTAACACAAGTCCTTTGGTGAGTGCTTTTATCCTGAGTACCTTTGAGTGCATCTATTTTTAGAGTGGGGATCAATCACCGTACCTTGGCAGTTACTGTAATACCGAACTTGACACCTGGATGTACTGCTGAGGCGATGCACGTCCACTGACTTCATTCAAAAACGTTTTAACTGGTGCTGAAGCTTGAAAATGACAAAAAGGAGAATGCTGCACACTGTTTCCAGCACTCCACATATTTATGAATCTATTTTGCCTTTCAGCCTTAAGCGCTGTGAAAATATGTGGTAGTTTGTCTCATTAGTCCTTTACAAGTTATACATCTTTCATAATATTCCATGTGCTATAAACAAGAACCCATGATCTGATTTCTATGTTCTGTACTTTTATTTTGACATGGCTCCATTTTATGTATCATATATTTTTCAGTAACATGTTGCAAGCTTCTTCTTCTTCTTCTTCTTCATGGAAAGTCTCAATCTTGAAGGCTGTGAAGATATTTTCCCTTTGGTTTGAACTGTTTGTGTTCCAGGCTCTACGGTATCCATACTTCCATGTCGGCCAGGCGCTCGGTGCTCCTCTTCAGTGCTCAGAGCGGCACAAGACTCAGGCAAACATGCCCGAGGCGCCTCTGTCCCTCTGTAAGATGGACCTAGAGTCCGGCGAGCCAAGTAAGACTCAGGCACAGCTGCAGACCTCCAACCAATGTCTCCACCAGCCCCTTCAGCAGATTATTCTACCTCAGGACAACATGGAGCCAAGCACAAAACAAGCAACATATTCCACCGCGCTGACAGAGGGGCAGCAGGAACCGCTCAGTCTGGTGAAAAGACAACCGATGAGCTGGCAGGCTGTAGGTATCACTCAGGTACAGCTTCTTAATGTCAGAATGGGAAAACCTTCTTGTGGCTTACAGAGCTTTAATTTATTTTAAAGGCAACAAGAGGAGCTCCCGCAGGAGCAGAGAACAGCTTAACTGGAGTGAGGACAGGACGCCGGCGATGGGGCCAGACGTCTTTCAAGTCTGTCGACAGCTGGGACGATGGCGAGGACGCAGATGCTGGCGTTTCCATCTCCAAAAAACCCACTATCAGCTCTCTGAAGGACAGGCCACTGGATGGGCGCGGCTGTCGGTTTCCAGAGTCAAGGAACAATACAGTAGCAAAGCTGCCGAGCAACAGCGGGCTGAACAGAGCTGACTCCACCGCCTTGTCCGCCAAGCAGCACTACCTCCGCCAGTCCAGATATCTGCCAGGTGAGAAAGAATGATCTACTGTGTCACAAAAATAACATGAACATGTTTCTTTTTGTAACACCTTTGAGGTCCTCTGCCTCCCCAGGTAGTGTTAGATTTACATTTCTTTATGTTACTTTATTAATGTGGCTTAAGTTTTACTCCAAACACTACAAACCAACCACAAACAACTCCAAGCACAACATCTCTAATATTGTACACATTGTGCTTTCCATATACTGGCATGGTTCCAAATCACAAATTGGTGTGTGGGCTCAGGTACAGTGAGTTCTTTCTGAGCTGTTTGTCCTTTTCAGGCGTAAATCCAAAAAACAACTCCTCAGTAGGGAGCCAAGTGGTCGGCAGAAACCTGTGGGGCAGCTCGTGTTTAAGCAGAGGACAGGGGCTGGAGTTCCCTCTACATAAAGGTATGAAAGGAAGAGTTCACAGTGTGAAAGAGTCAGTGAGTAGCCACACCATGAAAGTACAGTACAACAATAGATGATATGCCAGATGCAGTGCCAGTGACAATGCCAAGTATATATTTATTTTGCCCAAAACACGAATACTTTTTTCTGCCTGCCCTCTCCTGTACTGTATGTTCATATAAAAGTTGCTTACAGAAACTTACAGGACTCATCTGTGAAGTGTCACAGTAGACCCTTGTTGATTTATCTGAAAATTTTAGCAATTTTGCCTTTATTTTGGTGCTTCAAGGAAGTTCATTTGAGACCATGCTTTAAGTCTTCCGATCGTTCTGACCTGATGCAGCAAACCAATCCCATTTGATATTACAAGTAGTGTAAAAACACTTCGAATTATTTGTGTCATTTGGCTCAAATGACTCAAACCGCTAAACCAGTACAGTAAATGCTAGAAAAGCTGCGCGGGTTAAAATAGAAACGCTCCGTCACGAGGTAGTAAGTCTCAATAATAAATCGGCTGTAGGTCGGCAGTCCGGGGGGGACAGCGGCTGGGTCCGGATCCGGACCGCGGTTCGCCTATTAGTGACCTCTGGGCTATGTCTAATGTTTACCTTGACGTTGTTGTGGATTGATCAACCTCAACAACAGACAGGCAAACAAGTGCTCTGCGAGGTAACCATGGCAACGGCTTCTGTGTAACTGACGTGATCCCATGAAACTGTCGTGGTCGTCTCACGCACACGCCCGCCCGCTGCCAGAGTTGAAATGTGAAAACTTTCTCCTATAGTTTATCAATAGTAAGAGACTGAGCTGACTGTTTGATGTGAGTTTCCTGAATAATATAACTGTTTCTTTAACAGTTAGGCCACCAGGTATTAAACAGGCTGTGATCTTTGCTGCTGTCACTTATTCATTAAAATTAATCTATTAACTTCTACTGAACTAATTTGAAAATTAGTAGTTATATTATTTAGTTATAGAATCAATTATTTCATGTTGCATGTTGCACATTTAACTGTTGAAGCTTGGTAAAAAAAATTAATACAAAGTAATTATTATAGAGAGGTGGCGATGGTGCAGTGGGTTAGACATCTGTCTGTGATTCCCACTGCATCACATCCACCAAATAAGTTATTGTCATGGGTCTCAGTATATTTTCCTGCTTTTTTGTCCTTTGCCAATCACATGACTGTTTGAGACATTCAAGTTCTACAAAATGAGAAACGGCTTCCAACAACTCCATTATGATTTAAAGTTTTTATCACTCAATCCCAGCGCAGGGCAAGTGAATATAGAACTACAGCAGCTAATTACAGCATCGTGCTAATAAAAACATCAGGTAACATGCTACCAGTTTTTATTTCTTGTGCTTTTGTTTGTTCTTTTCATTATTGTTGTCCCAACAGTGTGAAAAGAGGAAACCTGTATTATTCATGAGTCACATGACACACAAAAAGCATGTATTGCTTTTCTGTTTATGGCAGAATGAAGCAGCCACAGCAACATTATACCTAAACAAAGACAGTGACTGGAAACGCTTCAGGCTTCCTATTTTCTTTTCATTGTTTCTGCAGCTGTTTCCTTCCTCCACTCACCCCACTCCTCTTGTCTTCCTATGTTGTGTGTTGTGCCTAACAGATAAGCAGCCTTTAAAAGAAAAGACACTGGAGGATCTTGATCTTTTCAAAGGTATCAAAATTTAGGAGCAGTTCACAGTAATTGCAGGTGTCTCTACTTTGCTTTCATTTGGACATTACTGACATTGTTGAAATACTGATCAAGAGTCAAAACACCACAAGGGAACTAAAGTCTATAAAGTACAATTCATCGTTCTGTGTGATATTCTAAATTCTCAAGGTGAAGGCATTGAAAAGTAACTAAACACAGACATCAGAAGAGGGGTTTAAATGACTGATTACAGTTTTAAGGTCATTTGTAACCTGTGATGGATGTCATTGTCCCTTCCAGAGACCTTCATGAGCAACTCCAACAACCCCACCAAGGCGTACATGTCTGCTTTGCCGAAGATTGAAACAGGAGCAGCTAGACAGAGGATTACACTGGCACCGATAGGAGGCGCCTCTGCTAGTGAGTCACGAGAGTTTTTGTGATTTTCTCAGACAGAATAAAGGTTGAGTCTGCGCATCACGAGTACACTTCTTTTAACTTTCTCTTCCATCATACTTTCACAAAATGCCCCCTGAATTTGGAAGAGTCACTATCTTCCTTGAAGACTGTGTCATGAGAGTTTTGTTAATGATCAAGGGACTTTTTCTTACCACATCTATCAGATCCTGACCTGCTGAATATGTTCAGTTTCTTGTCTTTCAACCTGAACTTTTCCCATTTTCTTTCTGTGAATCTTGCAGTTGATCTGTCATCTGCTGCTGATCTAAGAGTTGAGTCTAAAATCAAACCGTCCAAGTCCTCAAATAAACGTTTGCCCTCAAATGAAGGTAAAATCAGAACTATGAAGTATTGAATCTTGATGTTGCTTCCTGAGTAAAGCCTAAACACACTTTCCTTCTCTCACGATTAACTTCTCAGAATACGAAGGGAGGAAGAGCAAATCTCTGAATCCTCAGATCCCTGCATCCGGCGCTGCAGGAAAGACTGCCTTTTCAAGGAGCACAAACATCCAGCCAGTGCACGGACGAGTAGACTGGACTGCCAAATATGGAGGCCACCAGTAGCACCGCACCACCACGGTTCCACCTCATGGGAAAAATCCCCACTTCAGTTTTGCCAGGAAATAACAGACTTCAGAGGAGAAGTGTTTCCTGCTAGTCTGTTGTTACGTTTGCCATGCGATTAAATGTTCCATTGTTGTACAAGTGACCCCCTTCTACTGTCAGTATATTTTTATATAATAGACTAGAAAATGAAATAAAGTCAGTATTTTTTATTAAAGTGGATGAATTTATTATTTTACAGCAGCAGATACAGTTCAGATGTACATTTACACAATAAAAACATCACCTAACAGGATAAAAATGGCTTTATATTATCAAAGATAGACAAAACCCTTTCCTCTTTAATCACATATTTTATATTACATTTTTATACAGAAGCAGTCTGTAATAGAAAATGAGACAGTATATGGGAGCACAAATTAGGTGTCAAACATATGTATGGAACAGGAAACATGTATGTGAGTATTTTCAAGCTTCATGTGGCCTCTTTAGCATTGCCATGATGATGTTCACCAGCACCAGTCCACTGAAAAAAAATTACAAGATTTGTATCAGGATACGGTTTGAAAAGGGACTGAAAAGTAATTGCATTTCGGTTTGTAGAATATTTTCAATAGTTCAATAGGAGAAGTAATATCTGAAAAGAAGAAATAGAGTATTACCTTGCTAAAGCCATTAAACCCGCTGGCATGAACTTCCAGGAGTTGAGAAATCTCAGCCCCATCACCACAACCAGAGTTCCAGAGGTGCCTGCGTTTCCCCAGAGGAGGGAGACAGTTGTTGCCATGTTTGTTTGTGAAAGGACTGCCACAGTTAACATTTTTACATTACATTTAGCTGACACTTTTATCCAAAGCAATGGTGGATGTTTCACAGGCAATAATCTCATCAATGCACCATCACCACCTTGAGTTAAATAAACTATATTTGCTCACCTAGTGAAAGCCAGACATTCTTAGGATTTTGAGATACCAGAAAAGCACCGACTGCAGCCAGCAGGCCGAACAGCAGCCCTGAAGCCAGAGAGATGATGCTGCCTGTGGAGGAAACACAGTAAGGTTTCTATTTTGAAATGTTGAATTAAATTTGATGGGATTCTTTTTTTTTCTCATAAACTAATCACCCACATTTCCCAAAAGGCCTTTTAATACCTCAGGACAAGGTACATTCACTTGTTAGTTTATGAGGTAACTTATGCCTAGCTATAATAAAACATCCCTGCTTTAGTTGTTTGTTGGAGATGTGTTGATTAAATTGTATGATCATTTTGGATGCTGTAATTTGTGGTGCTGTCAAAATGTATTGTGTTACAGTGAGAGGTCTTTCTTATATGTCGTCCACCTCATTTATATCAGTGAGGTAAATGTTAGTAACAACTCAGCTATAATATATTCTATAATATTATATATCATTCACAGGGTTAATTTCTGCATTGAGTACTTTTACTTTTAATACTTAAAGTACATTTTCCGGATTATAATTACATACTTAATTAACATTTTCTATGCAGGACTTTTTTCAAAGTAGTATTAGTACTTTTACGATCAGAAATATCTGGTTGGCTACTGTGTTCATCTAAATACCCAATATGTCGGTGTGTCTCTCCTACCTGCTTTCACATAACCTAGGATTCCTCCTGTTACCAGCAGAGCAGCATAGCTGAACCCAATCCAGTCTACAGCCATGTCCACAAACCAGAAACAGACTGCTGCTGCTGCTGGAGTAAGACAGAGTTTAATTTGAGGAATCCTCGATTTACCAGCATTGTGCCACAACTTGTCAACAGTTAAACCGTTAAAAATGGCGACAAAGTACTGCCAATCGTTTTATCAAAATATTACACCAAACGTACTGAAAACTTAGCTAGTCATACGGTCATACCTGATTTTGAAACGAGTTTAAACCATAGACTATTTATAAAAAGGTTTAAACTAGGAACAAGTCCTGCACCTTCTGAACTTTACCCTGAATGTGTCACGTCCGGTGTCAAATCGCAGAGTTACAAAATAAAAGGATTCAACGTTTTTGAAATTACTTTTACTAAATAACGTAAGACGGCGTAGAAGTACATATAAAAAAATACGGCACGGGGGAGAGGGTCATATTTCGAGAAAACGAATTTATATTCTCAGAGATTAAGGAAAATAGTGTTGTCCGAGTTTTTATCATTCATTAATTATACAAAACAATTAGTTAGTGCAGACATAAGAGCTGGAGCTTTCAGAAAGGCAGATATGAGGGACTGCAACAAATCCACTTGAAAGCTTTTATCGCATTATAAGCATTTATAAATGTCTTGCAGTTCTTCCCCAGTGTTTTATGCTTTTGTAAGTTTGGCAGTAAGTATCTCATAATAATACTCGAGCAAGTTCAATCTCAAAACGTTTTGCACCGGTTTACTACGGTGTCTGATTGAACGAGACGTTCTGTTCGGAAGCGTCTTGCTGCCATGGCAGAAAGAGAAAAACGGATCAGTATCATGTTATAACATGAAAAGTTTGTTGTTATAACAACATATTTTTCACGTTATAACAAGATAAGTTTATTGGTATAACATAAAACTTTTCATGTTATAACATGATACTGATCTGTTTTTCTCTTTCTGCCACGGCAGCAAGACGCTTCCGTACTTCCGCAACGGGCTTCGAGGTATTTGGCGAGTTCAGCGCAGACAAAACGTAGCAACACGTTTTTTTCAACGGAAACGGCGGTTTCTTGACCCTGCTGTGTCCGCAAGCGCACTGCATTTTTAACACCGTTGTGTTTACAAACTTGTCACAGCTGATTGGGTAACAGACACGCCCACCAAACGGGAGAAAACATGTGGTTCAATCCAAAAATGTTGCAGCCCGGTGGAAAACGTTTTGAGATTGAACTTGCCCCAGGACTCGGCAGTGTTCCTGATGTATTCATAAGTTGTATCAGTAAAGCCTATTAAAAATGATCTAATGCGCGATCAAAGTTTCTGCCCTTCATCGTTTGTGTAGCGCCTCATAAAGCGCAGTTCTAACCGCATTCCTTAATGTCATTTCATTTTGATATCACTTATGTTGTTATTGTTGAATGTGATGTATGGATCGGCAGCAGGATCATTAAAATGAACACTGAATAGCGGCCGGCTGGGTAAATCGCCTTTCCAGAGACGCTGTGCGTATTTATGCACGAGCACAGCAACATAATCAACCCTACTTAAATATCTCCGACACTCCGACAGGATAGGTCAGGATCTAATGTTAATTCATGTTTTGTTTTCTACTACACATCCAAAAGCTCCCACACGCAGTCCAGGTTCATACATTGAAACTGTTTGGAGTAAAGCAGCCGTCGTCCTGATCAATCCTGAGCTCCATCGGAGCGTCTAAACATGGGTTAAAGAAGCTGAAAGTTTAATTCCTCTGCAGAGTTTTTTTTTGTGCCACGATATTTGCTGTAAAATTACTACACGGATAGAAACGTTTAAATGGCTGACAACAGTCTTTCTAATCATCAAAGTAAATCTTTAAATAAAGCACTCATCCATCAATATAACACTATGAAGAAATCACCTGAAACTACAGGGACCAGTGGAGGTGTGGTAAAAAGTCCATGCTGGTCTCTAAATCTGATAAAATAATTAGTTGATGGGGGCAGGTGGATGATTTATGTGTAGGCCTATATGAGTATTCCCTTCATGTCCGAGCCGATCCGCGCATCCCACCTTATATGAGATAAATGTTACGGTTTCATTTCGTTAAGGGACTGATGATGAAACGCTCACCTCATCAGGCTGAGGGCTTGAATAAACCGTAAACTTTTTCAGACAAAAGTCGCACCCCCAAAACAGTTACTGTGTTTCTGTGAAGTGAATTTTATTTATTTATTTTACCAGGAAAGAAATCCATAGAGATTTTTAACCTCTTTTACAAAGATGTCCTGGCCATGATGTTTATTGGAACCTCGAGTTGTTTCTACGTATTAAAATGTTGACAGACATGTTTCTGGATAGTGAAGATAGCCTATAGTTTGCAGCCTTTAGTGCCAAAAGATGGTGCTAAAGGCTGCAAATCTGACAGAGATCACAGCGCAAACAGAGATGCAGCTGTGCAACAGGTCATATTTAATTGACGTCGCTTTAAAATGACTGCTCTGAGGGAACTACATCTCATATCATTAATTGCCTGTTTCCTCCACTCCTCTCTCCTCGCGTTTCCTCCTGGAGCCCGCTTCCCGGGTGGGAGGGACTAAAACCATAGACTGTATCTGTATATAAAAAGCATAAGACGCGCCGCGAGGAGGCACAAATTTTGCCCCCTATCTTGTCACGAAGACAGCAAATATAAGCACAACGAGCAGCTGTGTTACCCCCCTGTGGTAACCATGAGTAAATGCATGTTAACTACATATACCAAAAACGGTCAATGATTTTTCATTTTTCTTCTTTTCCATGTTGACAGCAAATCTGCACACAAAAAGCAAACACATAATTGACAAATGATATGATAAAACTTATTATTTTCCATTTTATTTTCCACCATCCTTTTTCTTCTTTTTGGGTTTGCTCTCGTCTTCTAGAACGACTTCTTCTGTTGCAATTCGGACTCTCTTTGTCTTTGAAAGCTCCTGAGCGAGTTCTGTGGACCGATGCAAACAGATTGAGTGTGTTACATGGACACAGGAAAAGCAAGTTCAACTAAGAAGCTCTTTGTTTATCAAGATTCTGGTGGGAGAAAGCCGAACCACCTACAGGACATCCCTATCAACATGAGAGAAAAAAAAAAAAAAATCACCAGCCTCAGTACCCGCTTAATATTTATAGCTCAAATCTCTTAACACGATGATAGTAAAACAAAAGTCAGTGTTTACAAGACTACCTCCAGATGTTGTTGCATGAGCTGCTGGCTTCTTAGCAGGCTGCTGCACTGATGAGGGTTTCCACACAGCGAGGCACGTCAGTCTGGCTGTTGTGTTCACTTCCCCAAGGAGAGTGGGCGACTCCAAGTCCTGTTGGACAGCACAGGTACATTGTTCATCAACAGCAACAACAACTGCGTCATTTTGATAATCTTTTTCCTTGTAACAGAAGGTTTTGTTACACCTGACACTATTATCTGAATATCTTATTTTATTATTGCTTTTAAAGAATTTTATAATTCTGCAAAGTACTGCAGATGTATGTGAATAGCTGGGAAATGTTATTTAAAAAAAAGAAACATACACTGCCACTGCAAATGTAAAAAAAAAAGAAAAGAAGTAGCTTGTAAGTAAATGGCTTTATCAAATCAAATGTTCATAAATAAAACAGACGTGCCTCTTTCAGATGGAGTTTCCACATTTTCATGAGTCCGTCGTTTGAAGCTGTCACCATCACACAGTAATTCTCCATAAAAAAACTGTCAACCGCTTTCACCCTGAAAAAACAAAAGGAAGTAGGTTTGTTAGCTTCCATAGAATTTAATTCTTACAAAGACAAAAACAAAAATATGTTTTTAGAAATGGAGCTCCAAATACTTTAAATACATATCAAACACTTAATAACTTTAAAAACACACAGTACCTGGTTTCATGAGCCTTAAACTCACAGACCCATTTCTCTTTTCCAAGGTCACATAACCTCACATGTTCATCATCTCCTGCGACAGCCAGAATGGAGTTCTGAAAAGCAAGCAGGATTATAACATCTATTTATTTAATGTTACTTATTATTGTCATATCTTGGTGTAATAGCAGATCCCAATCATTTCAGCCATAGCAATCTCTAGATTACATATACAGTCAGTAATCAGTCAGAGAACTCACATTTAAGAACTTAACAGATGAGATCCTCTTGGGGTTTTTCATTGTTCCTGTCACAGAGGCTGTCTCCAGGTTGTAGATGTTCACTTTGTCATCCACCACAACCACATATTTATCCCCATCTGGAGACCATCTGACAATGTGCGCATCTGTTAAAAGTGTATGGACAAAAAGTCAATTCAAACATGCTAATATTGATAAAACAACTTAAAACTAGTCCATTCCTCAAAGAAACAATATGTCGTATTTTTATTTTAAAATAACAGTGTCTCTGTCATTGCCGGGCCTGAAGCGCCTGCTATTAGACTATGTAACACTGGAGTCCCGTGCACGAAACCCTTTCGCAACAATGGCATAATAATCCTCAGTATTCTCAGCAAAGAACTTACGGATATCGTTGCAGAGGTTGCGGAGAGACTGAAGAAGACGTTGTTGGAGGAAACAAGGAAGAGAAAAAGAGAAAGTGACCGAGCAAGAGACTGAACTGAAATAAGAGGAGGCTTACTCTGTTTTATGTTTTTGATGAAGGCTGATCTTCCGTTAGTTAGGTTCCACGTTCTACAAAGATAACAAGATGCAACAGTCATTTTTGATTCCCTGTTAAATGAATCACCTGCCTCACCGACTTTCAAGCAGCAGAACTGTGGATTTTACCTGAGAGTCTTATCTGTCCCGACTGTAAGTGCAAGTTTCCCAGATGGATGGACAGACAGCGATGTGACATGGCCTCTGAGGAGAATGAGAGGATTAAGCAGGTTACTTTGACACGTCCCTTCCAACAAAATACTAAGACAGCAATCGCACAGACGCAACCAGCACCTCTCTCTCTCTTTCTGTGCTTACTTGTGAGCTTTGATGGATTTCAGACACTCCCACTTTTTTGTGCTCCACACGCATATGATTCCATCCTCTCCTCCGCTCAGTAAATGAGACGTCCCATAAAACTCCAGGCAGGTGATGGTGCCTGTGCAATACAAGGAAGTTTGAGTCGGGTATGCACATAACAAGCTAGCTTCAATTTCTTTACGGTTTGACGAACTGTAAAAAGTAAATAAGGCCAATTTTTCAATGTTATATTATATACTTTTTGTTCCAGCAGCAAAGACAATCATGAGGCAAAATCTGTTTGCTCCAGTGTCTATACCACAAATGAGGAGAGCGGTCAGGAGAAGCTAGGATTAAAGAATGGGAGAAGAAAGAAAGCAGCTAGAATATATTTCCAACATAAATAAATACATAAATAATGGGACTGAAGAAACCAAAATCCTGAAAAGCCCAGACATTTCTTTGAGAATATAGTAGTCAGAGGACACATGAGTTATTATTCTATTTCACTGTGACTTTTTAACAAGCTAACAAGAGTCAAAATAAAGAGTGTATGTCACGTTCACAAAATATTGCAGCAGGTTTCCTCAATCATTTGAGGTGATTTAAATTAATCTTGTTGTGGTCTTGAAGAAAATAACAATTGTCTTTATCAAATTCCTTTCTGACCGTCCATACATCCTCTCTCTCGATCTGATCTTTTTCATGAAAAAAGTTCAAGGACTTTGTCACATGAATATTACCACAGTCCACAAACATTGTCCGACATCTTTAAATAGCCCCTGTGGGAATCAAACCAGAAATATTAGTACTAAACCACTATTTATACTATATTTA